CTCATCCTCTGTCCCTGTGATCTGAAGGTACGTTTCTGTCATGAGGCTGGAGAGATTTTACAGACAACCTTCTATGATCCTTGGAATCCCAGAGGTCCCTGCAAGCCTAAGCCAACCTGGATTGCACAGGCATCAAGGGTGGACCCCCAGTTCTCCAACATCCTGTGTAACCAAATGACCTTTTAATTGTGCAACCCCTGAAATTCATACTTGCTAGCCAACTTACCATGACAAGTGCAGAGAGTACTAAACGGCTTTTGACAGAAAGTAGCTATGTGAGCCTGAGCTGGTTGCATCCTCTCTCTGGGTCTCTAGGAGATCTGTTGCATGGCCTCCATGCTTGAATGGCTCTTCACTCATCATGTGCTGTGACTTGGCCACTGACCATGGTGGGAGAGAGGAGAGAAATTTGGGAGGGTGCATTTCTCTTTGTTGTTTCGTTTATTTCCATTCATCCCATTTTAATTTTGTCAGGGTCAGATAAGTAATTTACATTTCCTAGGTCAAATAACAGCAGACCTGAAAAAAAGTTGTCTTTTTTAAAAAAATATATTTTATTGAGTTTTTACAGAGAGGAAAGGAGAGAGATAGAGAGTTAGAAACATCGATGAGAGAGAAACATTGACCAGCTGCCTCCTGCACACTCCCCACTGGGGATGTGCCCGTAACCAAGGCACATGCCCTTGACCAGAATCGAACCTGGGACCTTTCAGTCCGCAGGCCGATGCTCTATCCACTGAGCCAAACCGGTTTCAGCAAAAAGTTAAGTCTTTACAAGTTCAAAAAAAAAGCCAATAGGTAAACTCTTTCTAAGCTAATTATGGGAAAAAACAGTGAATTGATAAGCCAAAACCATCTAGAAAAAGAACCCTCAAATGTTTGACTTTCTTCCTATTTTGAACACATGCACTGTTGATGGAATGAGAAGTGATCAGGGGGACGGCTTCAAGGCACAGCCAACTCCCTGGTGAGCTTCCAGAGGCTGGCAGGGAAGGGCAAAGTTATAAGCAACTCAGAGCAATCTTGCCCTGGACTGTCTGGCACAGGAGCAGTTCCTGTAATTGAAACTGAGTTCATCAAAACCCTACTTGGTTGGTGCCCACCGCCATTTCACAACTTCCACAACCAGGGCCTGAGCATCCCAGGCCTGCGTGACCTGGCCCTCGGCAGCCAGCCCAGCCTCCTCTCCTGCCAGCCCTGGAGCACAGGAGCCATCCCTGTCTCTTTTGGTGCCTTGAACTCACTTAAGCAAAGCAGCCTTTGTGTACACTGTTCTCTCTGCCTGGAAATTTGTTTCTGTCCCCTTTGCCTGCTTCATCATAGCAAGGAGAAGGGCCCAGTGATTCTGTCACCACTCGCTTCTACAAGTACTTTTTCGTTTGACCAAACCTCACTTTTGTTTTAATTCTGTTTATTTTGGGATCCTGGCACACGCATACTTCACATCTCAATCTGTATAATTACTTTGAAGGAAAATTTAATTCATTCGTATCTGATGCCCACAAAAAGTAAATGTCCATCATTTTCCATTTTTAAAAGCAGTGGTGTTTGAAAGCATCTCTATTTGAGCCAAGAAACCAAGTAGGACCTCAGTTTTAAGTTGTTCATCTTCTAAAGCTCTTGATTAATCACAGTTTTACTGATTTTTCAAATAAATATGAAGATTATATAAATACACAACAATAATAAATATCTCTAAATCTGAAGAACAGCAGTTTGGGGGCTTAACTTCAGTGTGGGACCGGGCATGGCTCTCTATTCACTCAGACTTCCCCAGTGACTAGGGAAGGTCCTCCAATAGTCCAAAAGTGGGGGAGAGTGAAGGGAAGACAAAAAGGAGGAAATGAGAAAAAAACATGCACATCAAAAAATTTTTTTAAGTCCCCTAAAAAAATGAGCATTTAAACTGCTTGTCAGACGGCTTCCTGACAAAGCCACCAGAGTGTCTTCACTGGTATTTACGTAAACGCTGCCAGTGAGTTCACCACAGCTGCGAAGGCTAATGGAACCTAATTAGTCACTTCTCCCGGCACAATGTCAGGATGATGAGCACCAGCTCTTTGCCTTGTTGCATATTAGATCATCCTATATAATAAATGCCTAATATGCAAATTGACCATACAGCTGAATGACTGGCAGAATGGCCAGTTGCTATTACATGCAGTGACCACCAGGGGGCAGATGCTCAATGCAGGAGCTGCCCCCAACCCACAGGCCCCAGGCCAGCCAAGGCAGGTGTGAGTGGGGTGGAGGGTGGAGTGTGTGTGGGGGTCCCCCCAGGTCACCTCATGGTCACCCCGCAGAAGGAGGCAACTGGCAGTGGTGGCAGGGGTCAGGGTGGTGAGCGGGCAGTGCCAGGCCGGCTAAGGTGGGTGCCATCGGGGGCTCTCTGATTGCCCCACAGATTGGCCCTGATTGCCAGCCAGGCCTAGGGACCTTATCAGTGCATGAATTTCATGTACTGAGCCTCTAGTTAGGTAATAAAGTGTTAGCTGACAGGGTCCCTGCACTATAGCTTTGTGAGGGTACTGCATTTTGCCATGGGGGTGGGAAATATAAAGAAACTAATGCCACAATTGGCCTTAAACCCAACCTGAAACTCAGGAGAACAAGGACAGTATTAACACTCTCCAAGCCCTTTGAAGATCCCCAGTGCACAATCCCAGGAATTTACCCAAGTGAGGGGAAGACAGGGCAGGCACACAAGCTGGAGCAGTTCACAACTGTGGTGGTGACAGTTCAGGGTCTTTGGCCCTATGCCTGCACTTTTTCAAAAATTGGAACACAGAGAGCAGTCCTGAGGCTGCCTCTCTCCCCACGCATACCTCTCCCATAAAGCTATTGCTTACGGAGGAAACCTCACTACCTAAACTCTCCCACAAATACCCAGCAAAGAACATCTCAGTATTTATGAATGAGGAGAAAGAGGGTGAGAGCAGTTACCAACAGCTTCAGCAAGCGGGGATTCATTCACCCTCTGTGGATCACACAAGATTCCAGGAAATAAATTTGCCTTTGGCAACTCTCCTACTTGAAATACAGGGACAGTTATGTGAGCACAAGAGTTGTGAGTGTGTGGGTCACACAGGGAGACTGCATGAGTGTAAAGAATGATCTCAATTTCTTTCATTCGCAGAAAGATGGAGCCACAAAAGGGAACTTTTCTCCAACTGTCTGACATGCAGAATATAAATAGAGATGTGCCGCAGCTCAAAAAAAAGTCAGGCTACCTGTAAACGAGATGGTGAAAAGCCCAGAATGAGGGAAAACGAAGGCTCCTACAGGTCACCTAAGAGGCGAAAATACTGGTTGTCTCACTGTGCAGTAGCTGCTGGAGGTGGGGGCGTGGGAGTGGAAGGGCCAAGGAGGGGGGTGTGGTTCTGTAAGTCTTAAAAAGGGCAATTTTAAATAGGACTTTTCAATGGCCAGGTAAAGTATTACCATACCCCAAATCAACATGAGTTAGCATCATAGGTCTACACCCACACACCACCCATGGAAGAACCCATCGTCACCCTTTGCTGATTAGATATTTATGTAGCTATCGTATGAGTGGGTGGTTATGTGTGGTTGGTTGATTAATTCTACAATGAAGCAGATTTCCATGGCACTGTTGTTACTAAGAACCTTAAGGAGCTGTCTACCCTTTGAATCTTCTGGAGAGAAGTGAAGTAAGGCTTTGGAGAGTGGGAGGCCCCCTAGCTGAAGGAGGTAGGACATACCCACATCTCCAACAATGATTAATAAATAGTGAAATGTCATCATTTTCTTGAATCGTATGCTAATAATAACATGGCCAGTTGTGGACTGGTAAACTGAAGCAGAGAAATAAAATGTCTTTAAAACTTAGAATAGCCCTAGCCGGGTGGCTCAGTTCGTTGGAGCATCGTCCCATACACCAAAAGGTTGTGGGTTTGAGTCCCAATCAGGGCACTTACCTAGGTTGCAGATTCTATCTCTAGTCAGGGTGCGAATGAAAGGCTACAGGTTGATATTTCTCTCACATCCTGTGCCTTTGGGCAAATCAATCTTCTCACGTCTCAGTTTCTCTGTCTATAAAATGAAGAGGTTGACTGTGATCTCTTGAGTAACTGTGAGCTCTGTGGTGCTATGGAAGTGCACACACTGAACAAGCTGGAAGTTTATATTAAATGTATTTGATGGCATAAAGGTGGGTGACAGGGAAATGCAGGAAGGAAAGACAGAGAAAGGCCACGGGTTTGGAGAAACTCCAGTCTGTGATCTCACTTGCCTTTTGTAAAGAACCCTTGGCTTTTAAGTTTCCCAGACAAAAGTCACTCTCCCAGGGCTGAGACTGCTTGGGTCTGAGATGTTAGCTCGGTGAGGGAGAGTGTGGCGGTAATTCAATATTTTCCATCAGTTGCTGCCTGAAGCCCCTAGGGTAGATGGGGAGGGGACACCTTGTGTATATGAGATGGAATAGAATATTGAGGTCCCCAAGGAGGGGAGAAAGCATTGGTGACAAGACTGTGTCTTCCCTAAGTGGAAGAGTTTAAAAGTTCAGGTCAAAGTCAGAATATTAGCACAAATTCCTCATTTTGTAAGTTTTATAAATGGAGAAACTGAGATCCAGCAAGATTATATGGTGTAGGCCAATTTGTGTTAGAACAAGGCTAAGAATTAGGCTTATGATGGAGTGGAAAGGGCCCATAAAGGTAAGGTTAATGAACATGCCATTCAATGTGATATTCTCCAGCTCCTGGTCCAGTGCCTGACACATAGGAGGTGCTCCATAAGCAATGGTCATCACTGACCAATTGACTGACTTTCTGAATGAATGCATGTGTTTCCACGTTGTGTTCCCTGGTAACCAGCTGGACCAAAACATGATCCATTAGAAACAAAGGATTATTTTACTGGAGGTATCAGAAGGCTTTCTCTACTGACTGAGAGACACTATTTTTTCTTTATTGAGTAATACTTTCTGAGTATTGCTTCCTCTTTGTTTATACTATCAGAATGAATATCAGAGCCCTTACAGGAAGTTGGTGGGGGCATGACAGAGAGCTGGGGTTTCCTTTGATGTAGACTTAGTGGCTTTAACAGAGGAGTGATCAGTAGTCTGCCGCACTGGTGTGCTGGTCTGGCACTCAGGGAAGTGGCCACCACTCGCGTGATTGTGGAGTAGAAACTCAGTTGCAGGAAGTACACAGTTCAATTGAAGAATTAAAACGGCACCTCAACAGAGCCGCTCTTGGGCTTTTCTTATAACCCATGTTTTCACATCTTTCCTTCGATTGTGTCCTTCTGTGGCTGCTACTACTTACAAGTAAGTCTGGGCATGGACTTTTGCAATTGGGTTGTGCAAGATAAAGATACAAGGATGGCCTTCATAATGTTTGCAGTAGAGAAAGTTTGGAAGCAACCTAAATGTTCACAAACAGGGAAGTGGACAAAATAAATTGTGATATATCTATGAAGCAAATAGTAAATCAGGTGAAACAAAATGATATGAAGTGTCTCTGAGTCAATGTTAAATTTTTTTTTAAAAGGAGAGGAACAATGTGTATAGTAGACTTCTTTTCTGTCCTTTGTGTTGCAGGGTGTGGCCCTACACAGATACTTCTTAATGTGTAGACTCTGGGAAGGGGAGCTGGGAATGGGAAAGAGCAGAAGGACTACCAGGGGTGGGCAAACTTTTTGACTCAAGGGGCACAATGGGTTCTTAAACTGGACCAGAGGGCCGGAACAAAAGCATGGATGGAGTGTTTGTGTGAACTAATATAAATTCAAAGTAAACATCATTACATAAAAGGGTACGGTCCTTTTTTTTTTTTTTTATTAGTTTTATTCATTTCAAACGGCCGGATGCAGCCCGTGGGCCGTAGTTTGCCCACGGCTGGACTAGACTTTACATGCACCTTTTATACTGTTTGTTTTATAGTGTATGTTTTTTTAAAGAAACCAATTAATTATAAACCTAAAAAGGGCTATATATTAACTTCTCATTCAGGTAAGGGTTTTTATTCTTATGTGCCTGGTACTTAAGAAAAAAAAAGAGAGAGAGAGAGAGAAAGAGAATTGTGTTAGGATAACTGCTCTTCATTGATGAACAACAACTAGCCCAAATGGCTGAGATGTTTTCCTGGCTGACAATGAATGATTATTATTATTATATATTTTTTTACTCTTTCCATCATCCCTGCCTTGTTCACAGGACTGAGCCACAAGTCTCTCCTAGCACATTGGTTCTCAAAGTGAGGTTCCAACACCAGCCATGTCAGCAATTCCAGGGAACTTGTTAGAAATACATTTTTATGCCCTACTCCAGATTTAGTAAGTCAGGAATTCTAGTAGTTGAGCCAAGCATCTGTGTTTTAACCAGACTTGCCAATGGTTCAGATGCCCCTCAAGTCTGAGAGTCTTGCCTTAGTGGATCCTCCTTTTAAACGGGAGAGCAGCAGTGGTTTCTTTGCTCTGCAAGCATTACTTGGACTTTTCCTGAAGTGGACCAATCTCACTCATCGCCTGCACCTTGCTCTCCTTTTCTCTTTATCCAGGGTCTTTGGAAGGGTCACGCACAGCCGAGGTGGGCAAGAATGCTTATCTGCCCTGCCACTACTCTCCAACCACCTCGGAGAACCTTGTGCCCATGTGCTGGGGCAGGGGACCCTGTCCTTTAACTCAATGTACAAGTATGATGCTCAGCACTGATGGAAGGCACTTGAACTACCAGAGTTCCAGCAGATACCAGCTAAAGGGGAATGTCCACAAAGGAGATGTGTCCTTGACCATAGAGAATGTGACTTTAGCCGACAGTGGGACTTACTGCTGCCGTATCCAATTCCCAGGCCCATTGAATGATAAAAAATCAAACCTGGAGTTGGACATCAAACCAGGTGAGTGGAGTTTGCATGTTTTCTTTATAAGTAATCCTCTGCAGATCATATTAAATATAATAATTGTTCTCATTTCTCTCCTCACCAGTGACTGCCCTGGTGGTGGACCCCTAAGACTTAACAGGCCTATAAGCAATGTCCGGCTGTGTTTAATTCTTCCATCTATATTGAAACTTATGGAAAGGATCTATATAATGGCAGGAAAGGCCTAGATCAATAGTTGGAACCCTGGCTGCTCATCAGATTCACTTGAGGGCTTTTTAACACCGATAGATGCTAGAGCCCTACCCACAAACCAGAGAAACCAGTGTTTCTGGAAGTAGAGCCTGAGCACTGGGAGTTTACAAAGTCTTCCCCAGGTGCTTCTCCCCCACCTGAAGCCAGGATTGAGACCCACGGAACTGTGGGTGTGCACGGGAGTGCATGTGCTTCTATGTTTTAAGGTTTATGGAGCATGTACTTGTGGCTGATGGAGCTGAATTCAACTCCAGTTCTGCTGCTTACGAGCTGTGTAATGTTGCACCAGTTATTTAAACTGTGTGACCTTCAACTCTACGAAATATGGTAATACCTATCATATAGGCCATTGGAAGGATTTTAGGAGATGTATTATGAAAAGCATTTAGTGTGTGGCTATTAGTTCTATTATTAACAATTAGACTGTGACAATGACAACTGTAACACAGTTCGTAAAATGTGTGATACACTCTTAACGCAGGTGTTTAGGTTGAAGGTGAGCATGTGTTTCTCTTTATTTATTGTCCTTTTACTTCCTTGAAATAAGCTCTCTGCTCTCAGAGAAGCCTCCTACTTACACTGCTTTCTGACACTAGCCAAGGTCACCCCTGCTGGGACTCCATGGAGAGCCTTCACTACAGCCTTTCCAAGGATATTTACCACTGAGGAACATGGCTCAGGTAATTTTACATGGGCATAGGAGGAAGCCTTTAGTTGGTTTCCGAGTTCAGAGGATTTTGAATATGGGGAAAACGAGGAAATGGTGTAAGAACTGACATATAAATGTTTCTGTACACATGAGAGAGAATTTCAGGTGAGGGAGGTGCTGGAATTAACCTGTACTGAGAAATGTAATGAGGCCTGGGCCAGTACCTTTTACTTCTTTGGATCTCAGCTTTCTCTTCTGTCCAGAGAATTATGGTTTTCATGACCCAGTAAAATTCCTGACCCCCACCTAAAAGTATTTCTATCAACATATTTTACTAAGTAAGAAAAGCAAAATTTCTATCTTAATATTGCTATCACTGCAAAAAAAGCGTTAGTCTTTTAAATTAAATAAATTTAATCTAATGAAAATCTTGTTACATTGCACTATTATTTTGTGATTTATTCCTGGACTGGTGATGTTTTATCTTGAATTGGCTCCAGTCCATGTTTGGGGTTGGGTTCGGTGATTTCCTGGACTTCTTCTAACTGGAATAAGCCCGGCCTCCTCCTCAGATTGTGATCTCAGTGGGAGCAGCTAAATTCTTTAAGTAATTGAGCTAGGCCTTTTCCATGCTGTTCTGGAAGAGAAGATAGGGTCAGAAAAGCAGTCTTCAGGTCACATTGATCAGAAAGATTAATCTTAAATATTTTCTCTCAGAGACCTGGTCTCTCCTACACTCTCTGGAGCTCATTTTTTTATTCCATAAAATGCCGTTAAAAATAGGTAAATCTGACTTTCTAATGTCACAAATCTCATAAGTTGCATAGGGGGTGTGCAGGAGGCGGCTGATCGATGTTTCTCATCGATGTTTCTAACTTTCTATCCCTCTCTCTTCCTCTCTGTAAAAAATCAATTAAAAAAAAAAAAGAGCTCAGTAGCCTAGTGTGGACCCATGCACAAGAGGTCACTGGGTCAATTGCCCCCTCAGGGCACATGCCTGGGTTGTGGGCCCGATTCCCAATGTTTCTTGTTGATGTTTCTCTCTCTCTTCCTCTCCCTTACTCTCTCTCTAAAATCAATATAGAATCAATAAAAACATTTTTTTTTTTAAAGAGTGTATGCTAAAGCCATGGAGAACTAAATTGGAAGGCCATTTCTGTTTTCACTAAGCTGTGTGACCTCGGTTAAGTCACTTCCTAATTCTTGGCTTCTTCATTTGTGTAATGGAGCTAATTGTCTCTACTTTAGGATGGTTGTTTTGAACGCTAAATGAGTTACTTCAAAAGTTTAGCACAATGCCTGTTCATGGTAAATTATAGCTATAGTTATTTTTATCTTCATGTTTAGGCCACCAAATACCCTGTTTTCCTCTTATTGAGAAAATGCCAAACTTTTTCAAGAAAATTAACTTTTGTTATCTGTTGAAATCAAATTACAATAGAACGCCTGCCTGAGTGTCATCAATGTTGGGATTTTGTTGATTCTACTAGGGCCCTGTGGACACAACAAACTACATATTGAACATAGGTCTTCAGGGCAGAAATCTCCATTTCATAGAACATAAGTAGCTGGGTTCATTACCTGGGGGG